TTATGGAATAGTCTTCATGTTTCTTTAATCTGAAAAACTTGGGAATTTTATCACATATAATATATAAAAATAGGAAGCAATATAATATTAAAAAGTTAGAGAATACAACAAGTTATGAATGAAATAAAATCAAAAAACTTAATACAATAAAAAAAATAATATTTGAAATAATTAAAAATAAAAATAATATTAGTTATTAAATTTAGTTTTTTAAAATGAATTTAAAAATATTCCTATAGAAATTTCGTCATATTTCTGTTCATCAATTTTTTTTACTTTCTATTACTTTTTTTAATTATTTCTTAGCATTCCTTTCATCATATTATAATAATTCTTGATATTTTTATTAAAAATAATAATATTTTTATAAAAATTTTGTTTATTAAACGTTATTTTGCAATTCTTCTTTTTACGTTACAATATTTTCAGATATTCATTTTTCTATATTCAAAGATTATTTTAATTATTATTTATCATTAATTAAAATATATTGGAATAAAAAAATTACAAAAATTTTTAAATTCCACACTTGTTAATAAAACAGGTGATTTATATATTTTTGGAATAATTATTTAAATTTTATTATTTTGTTTTATTTGATTATATTTTTCACATGTACTAACCTAACATGTTTCAAAGTTCCATTTTACATTACCTTAATTTTTTTCGTTGCCTCGATAATTGATTGCGGTTGTGGTTTGCATCTAGAATACATTTTAATGTATTAAAATTTTGTTATGTATAAAAAATTAATTTTAATTGAATTTATAATTTTAAATTGTATAATAACTTACAGTTCAGGAACACAGATTTCCATGATATTAATTATCGTTTATAATATCAGAATAATTAATAGACGGAATTAAATAAATAAAATATATTTACATTTTATCAAAAAGTTTCAAAATATTAATATCAAATAAAAAATAAATAATTTTACACTGTCACGATATGAAAGGTTAATACCATAGTAGGCAACGAAATAATAATTGTAAAATTTAATTGAAATGTCAATTTCTAAAAAAAGACAAAGAGAATACAAAACTCTTCTGTTCATATTTTTCTTGTCTTTCATAGTAGAACGTTTTTAAAATTCAAAAATATGTATTTCCAAAAATTATTATATATTTTTGTGTATGAAATTAAAATTTTTTATTATGTACGAAATGAATAAAAACGATATATAGTTTTATTTAAAAAAATAAATTTAACCTTCATATTTCTTATATGTATTCATTTATTTATCATATTTTTCATTAAAATTTTTAATGTACTTTTTGCTAAAATGATTAATTATGAAATAAATAAATATTTTATATTATATATTATATTGAATATTATATTAATATATATACTTAATGATGGTAAAACTTAATAACTTACATATAAATAATTTTCAAATTATTAATTAAATATTTTATGAAAATAAAATATGAAACAAATATTATATTTTCATATACATAAGCTATTAGAATTTTTTATTTTATTTATATTATATATATTTATTTTATATATTATATATTCTTATGAAAAAAAATATAGCTTTTTTTAATATTTTTAAAAAATATATATATTTTTCTATGAGTTTATAGTTTACATCTGTGTTAATATTAGTTATATGTTTTATTAATAAGATATTATTTATTTTTAACAGTTAAAATAATCAAATGTTTTTTAATTTAATCTTCTTGAGATAAAAATTGTAATACAACATATGAATAATTTTTTTCCTCTATTTATTTATTTTATTGAATCACATAATTGTATATTCAATTAATAATTTCTAACTTTTTTTATCTAAAATGTCTGAGACCATAATTTATTGAAATTTATTACAATAAAGATGCATTGATTGCATTAAAAAGATTTATATAATCATAATATCTAAATTTAATAATTACAATATTATTACAGTTTTTATTATAAAATCTAATGATTTCTGGAGACTTTCTAATATTTTTTGAATTCATATATTCTAAAACTCTACGTAATTTTCATCTGCCATCTATGTGTTCACATACAAACAACTTATATCAGAAATTACTTATTAACAGTTAACTATAATTTTTATATATTTTTGTGTATATTTTATTATTTTTTATTTTGAAACTTCAAATATTTTTTTTTTATAATATATGCGAATTCGTTTACAAAAAAAATTATTGTTCTGATTTGATTTTTTCATTCTTTGTTAACTTTTATGGCAATTTTATTATTAGCTTTTTATTGCATTTATTTACTATTTATATAAATCGTTTTTTATTTGCTGTTGTATTTTTTAGATATCCAGTATTTTTTACACATAAAATTATCAGAATCATTTTCAAACTTTTGTAGTAATATTGTTCTACCAGATAAAATTTGGTATATTTGGTATATATATATTCAATGTAACACTGATTTTTACGGTTAATATATCGTGAGTGAATGTTTATAATATTATTATTTTCTTTTAAATATTCAACATTTAAAATATTTCAATGTTTATTAATTTCGCAAGATTTTCAATTGATAAATAATATTTTTAAAACATTAATGAGTTCAGAAAAATTAGATAGCTAACAGTTATTTTATATGATGATTAATTTTTGAATTTCTAGATGTTTTTTCATGTAAATAATAATTAATTATCTGCAAGTTTTGGATTTGTTTTTTTTCAAATGTTATATAAAAATGATCTAAAAATCGATAAAAAAAAGTTTATTATTCATTTTATAATATATACTTTTATCTTATAGCATTGTACAATTTCTATTATTAACCTTATTTTAAATCATGAGACATTTGTCTCTTTGAATTAAGTACATTTGCTTTTTTTTATATGCCAAAATTAAAATTATATTTATAACTAATAATATCGAAAATTGTGATCAACAATATAGAAATTATTAGATTATAAAAAGGTACATATTCCAATAAAATTTCTAAGTTCAGATTGTCATAGTAATCAGTTGTTCATAGTTGCATTAAATAAATCTTTTGTATTAATTTGTATATAATGATTTTTTTTAATATTCATTCTTTTGTGTTTGTTATGCTTCATAAATTGTAAATATTAAAGCTAATACAAGTTATTTTATATAAACATTTTATTTAATGGAAATATTCTATTATATATTTTGGATTATTTTGTTAAAATTGTTTTAAATTAAATAAAAATATAAGCTGTATCAAAATTTGTAATTTATTATTATCATACTCTTCAATTTCTTAATATTTTTTCTAATAAATATATAAAATTATAATAAAATAAAATAATAAATATATTTTTTGTCTAAGAAAAAGTTAGCTATTCTATCAATGATAAATTCATATTAATTGCTAATTTTTAAGAACAAAAAATATTGAAACATTTCTACTGAATATAATATACTGAATACTGAATATAAATAGAATGAATATGAAATTATAATGTAAAATTATTCTTTTATATATGTTTATGGCAATATATCCTTTAAGTATATAATAAAGAAATAATATATATAGCATATATATTTTTTTATATGAATCTTAGAAATGTACTTTAAATGATATCAGAATAAATTGACAGCTTAACAAAATACATAATATTGCATGAAATATATCTGTATTTATATATTATAGTTTTCATGCTTTGCTGTTTTTTATAAATAAATAATTTATATAATTTACTATAAAATATAGATTCAATTATCAGTATAGTTTTGATACATGTGCTTCATTTTCCATAACAATCTATTTTAGTTTTTGAATGAATGTGAATGTTTATATGGATAAGTTATTAATTACTATTAAAAAAATTATTAATAATTTTACAATTAATTATAAATAATAAAAATGTATGAAATCAATATAAAAAATAAAACTATTTTTATACATCTAAAATCGAGTTTTCTAATACATAGTACTAACAAAACTTAATGATTAGAAATCTCTTTAAGATAGAATTTAGCAATTCACGTTCTATATGCCAAATCCAGCCATCTGCGAATTGCGTCTATGATCCAAGAATTGGATTTGTTAATCCAATGATTAAAACAAAATTATATTATATGCCAAACAAGAATTTAAATTTTCAATGTGACATTATTTTCCGTATTTTTAAAAATCATTAGATAAAGAGAATTCTTCATTTATGTATGAAATTGTAATGAATAAACTTTCAAAATTAAAATTATATTCAATATGAAAAGAATTTCTATATTATAGAATCTATTTAATTATGCAATTGAAGAACTTTCAATAACGATAATTTTAATTATTGGTTTATTACAGTGAAATAAAATTTTCATGAGATATAATCATATATATATTTTCAAAATTATTTTTTTCTCACTAAAAATTGCAAACTTTGATCATCACATATCAAATCTTTAAGAATAATAGCATATCACTAAAAATTCACTAATATTTTCATCAAGTATTTGAAATGTTATTAACTTATAAGAAAACTAGTAAAGAAGACAAGAAAAAATTAATGATAAAATCATAAATTTCCAGCAATATGTTATATTTACATAATAGTAATTTACATAGTTCATAAATAATTTAAACAAATAAAATATTATCTTCATTATTATGAACTTAGTATTATAATAAATATATTGTATACATTTTATTATTTATTATTCATCTGAATTTTCTCTTAATATAAAAAAAAATATAATTCCATTTTAAAAAATAGATAGATAAATAAGAATTTTTGTTTCGTTTTGAAAACAAATTTTTTTCGAAATTTTTATCATTATTCATTTTACATTTGATACCATAATAAATTTTTATTACAAATTTTTTTGTTACAAATATTTTTTTATGTATCGAACGAAATACCAAATAAAATCATATTTTATATTTATGTATATCTCATATTTTAAACTTAAAACAAACTTTAACTTTGAATTATTTATATTTCCATTGCTTAATAATATAAATATACTTCATTTTTTTTTATTTTTTTATTAATTATAAAATTAATAAATTTATCTTTTTACTTTTTTATTTATTTTTTTATATATAATAACTTAATTTATTATTTTTAATTAATCTTTTCGTCCTACTTTACTACATGATGTAGCGAGTAAGTATGAAAAATATTCAGTTGGAAGTTTCGAAGATAATTGCTGTATATATGCATTCAATAAATTATGCGTTTCTTCTTCGTAATCAGAATAGATATTTGATACACCTATCTCTTCATAAATTTGTTTCACACGTTTTATTTTTTCTTCATCAGCTACTCCATAACATTCCTAGATGATAATATTATTAATAATTTATTTTATTTAATAGAATATAATAAATTTGAAATATTACTAATGATAAGTTTACTTTCAAAATTTTCTTTTGTTCGGTTGTAGCTCGTTGCAAAGCAACCACAATGGGCCATGAACATTTTCCTTCTTGTATGTCAGTTCCACTTTTTCCTATAACTTCGCGCTTACCATAACAATCTAAATAATCATCTCGTACTTGGAAAAGATGCCCTATTTTTAGCAGAATATTTTCTGCTTGCTTATATATTTCTGATTCAGTTATTCCAGCCTATAAATAATATTGTAATTAAAATTGTAATAATATATATAGAAAATAAAGAAAACCTATACTTTTCTCAAATAAATAATACAATTATAAGAATTAATAAAATCAAATAGTGCAATTAAATATACTTACGAAACGCATAGCAAGAGTGAATGGAAGTACAAATGAATAATAAGATGTTTTATATTTTACTATAGTATCGTATTGGTCCATAGAAAAAAGATCAAAATTCGATTTCTTCTCCCAATCTGTTGATATCAATATATCTAGACATTCACCTTGCACTGTTTTTTTGTGATACTACAAATAATATAAATATTTGATAAATCGTTTTAATAATTGTTATAATAATTGTTATAAAATCATTATTTATACAGAAAAAAATGTATGCATATAGCAAAATTCAAAATTGTTGTACACATTCTTAAAAGTATATTGCATTATAAATATTTGTTTTGTACTATATTATTCTTTTATTTATTATTAAAATTTTTGACTAAAAGATTTTTACTAGAATTGATAAAATATCTATATTTTGAAAAAAAATTAAATTAAATAAAATCAATAACAATTTTTACTTTAATTTTTAATTTTTTTAATTTTAGTTTTTAATTTAGTAAAAAATATGTTATACATACTTGATCAATTAATATTATACTTTATAAAAAATATAAAATTTTATTAATTTCTATAAAAGTGTACAAAAAATAATATTTATAAATACGAAGATCAACTGAAAATCATACATAATTTTTTATATATCGAAAACAAAAAGAAATATTTATGAAAATCAAAATAGAAATAAAAATAAAATTCATTAACTTCAAAAGTGCTATTTTTCAATATAATTCATATGAGAATATAAATTTTCCCAATATATGAAATATTTGTTCACTGCGTTACTGAAATATATCGTTGATTTTAAATCCAAAATTTCATTATCTACTTCATTTTATTGTCTATAATGAAATGAACATTTTTATAAAAAATCCTTTTAGAAATGTTAAAGAAACTGGAAATCATAAAGTGCTAGAATTAATATTACATCCATTGTAAAATGCTAACCATTTTACATTTAAACAAAAGAAATAGTTACTTTTGATAACATATAATGTTCTTTTTATTATTATTATTTAAAATTATATGCATGTATGCACTTTTTAGATGACCTTCGTATAAAAATAAAAAAATTAAATTAATAAAATTATGACTGATAAAATTATTTAATTTTTTTTTAAATACATAGAAATTTATATGAAGAAATTATTATTATTATTACTTTTTTAAAAATTAAAAAAATAATAATTTTGTTTTTATTATGAAAAATTAATTTGTTAATAGAATAATTATTTATTATTTATAAATATTATTATAAATATAAAAATCTATTACTCACTTTTGAGAATAAATTTAAAATATCTTCAAAACAATCTTTCGATTTAAAATATTTCTTAACAAGATCATATATACATGTTTCCATAAGTAAAATATCATTAACTGCAGATAATCCAATTTTTACATGCCAAGTTGGTTGATTTCGTCGCATGTCTGTATGATCTACAATATCGTCCATCACTATGTAAACTGCTTGCAACTGTAATAATCATATATGCAAACAATTTTTTAAATTAATAAATTACAAAAAAAATAATTTGAATTTAAATTAATAAAATAATAAAAAGTTATATAAGATAAATTTCTTTTTATTGTAAATAAATATATATAAATATTAGTAAATTAAAAAATTACAAATTCTAAAATAATATAAAGTAAAAGAGAGAAATAAAATAAAATTACTAACTATTTCCATACACCAAGCTAGAATACGGGCTAAACGAATATTTTCTTCTGTTAATTGATCTTGAGATGCCAACAATTTATATGCAACAACAAGTGATATTGATCTTCGTCTTCCTCCTTTCGGAACATTATATTCCAATACCTAAAATAAAAAAAATTGTTTTATTATTTAATATATTATTTTATTAATTTTTAATTTTCAAAATTTTTTTGTTATATCTATTATAGTAGACTGAAAATGATATGACTTTGAAATATGATTATATAGAAATTATTATGTAACAAAAATAATAACAAAAATTCTTATACAAAATTTATTAGTTATTTATCTAACATTATTGAATTATAATAGTTTTGCTTTCATGTTAAGTAATATTCAATATAATCATGTTAAGTAATATTATTAATAAAAAAATAGCAAACATCTCTAATCTGATCCGAGTCAGTTTTAATATAATTTTATATTAAAAAATTAGAGTGTATTATAACATTAAATGAAATTAAACAAAAATAATCAAAGTGATAATTTCAAATGGATCACATTGTATATATAGAATATCCAATGAATAATAGTATAACTATTATAAGAATGGTTTTAAATGAAAATATAAGTCAAAAATATTATTTATAAAAGTTTATTACTTAAAAAATTTTCAAACTTGATTTTCTCGAGAACCAAATTGCGAATGAAAAAATTTTATTCTATTATTTTTATTTTTTTTATTTTTTCATGAGAAATCACTCTATGCACCATTTATATATTATTCAACCAAATCTTACATAATTATAGTTATAAGAGAAATAAAAATCCAGACTACACCAAAATTGGTAAGATCTCTATTTTTTTATACTATATTCACAGTTGAATTTTGGATTGATTGACAATAAGACACATCTTATCCTGAATAATGTATTCACGCCTATAAGATTATTTACGTAATATATTTATTATAATTTTTGGCATTTATTTTAGAAATTTTTCTAGATATTCGATCATGTATATTAGTTACGTATTTTTCAATTTATTTAATATCTATCAATAATGACAAGTTCATCTTTAATTTCTTTAAAGTAAGAAATGAATTTTTTTTTTTTTGCTTGCTTCACGATCTTTGGGTTCTTATGAATTGCAATTTTATATAATGAAATTTTTTTTTATACATTTATATTTACTCATTAGTATTTTGTGATATATCAAAGCGTAATGTAAACAAAAAAAAAAGATGTAATGCATTACTTTTTATGCCAACTTTTAATGAAACAACAATTATAATTTAATTATAATTTATGTTCGAGTTTCAAATTGATAAAATTTAATTTCCATATTTTACACATAAATGATTCATGCAATGAAAAATTATATCATATGATATAAAAAACTGATGATGATATGAAAAATTAAAAAAAAAAAAAAAAAAAAAAAAAAAAAAAAAAAA